CTACCCCCAAAATGACTCTATAGGACATTGCACACCAGAACAACTAGACACAAGGGCATTTTACCCTAAATGCCATCACTCTGCTAAACAACTAATTCCCACAACACTGTCAAATTATTTATTAAGACTATCTCCTATCTCCTCCCACTTATGACTATAATATTGTTGCTTGTATCTCTACGATTTAGATTGTTTTATTTGTTCCTAGTATGATTTGATTGCTGATTTAGTAATCCGTGACTATACTGTATAAATGATTCTTGACGAATAGATTTTTTTCTTTTCTGTACACTAAGAGCATATGCACCAAAGACAAATTCCTTGTATGTCCAATCACACTTGGCCAATAAAGAATTCTGTTCTGTTCTGTTCTACTCTACTCTATTCTATTCTATTCTAGTCTAGTCTAGTCTAGTCTATTTAGAGGCAGCAAAAGAAAGACTTCTTCAAGCAACATTTATGGAAAAAGTGTGATGATAGGAATTTCTATTGTAGATGGTTTCAAAATGGGATTGCAGAAGTTCACATAGACTCAGATGGCACTAAATTTACATAATATATTTTTGTCATGATCCATTTTGTTTGATTTTGCTTACTTTAAGGTATAAACCCAATCATTGTAGCTTGTAAACCATGCTTTATAGTATAATGTATTGTATGAATCCAGATACTTATGGCTTATTCCATGACCCAAAATGTAGGACAAAACACAAATGAGATGTCAGTGGATAATGCTCCTGTAGGCTGTTTGCTTGCTGCCTCCAGAAAAAACAATTCAAAATGGTAGTTGTCCTAATCTCCTGTTGTAAAGGCACAGCAAGTGGTAATTGAGCTTGACTGATTTCAGAATCTCAGTGGGGTTGGAGCTAGTGAATATATGGATGGGGCCATCTAGGATTGCCAGATGATTTATTTGATTGGGAAGTCAGAAAAACATTCTAAAAGAAGACAATGGCAAGTTAGTTTGGGAACATGGAGAAAAGCATAGGTACAGTTGCCAGGAACTGGGTCCAACACAAGGGTGTCCTTCCTTTTACCTTTCTTTTTGTGAGCTACTCTAGAAAGTTTGATTATTCATTTGATTATAAGATGTAGGATGTCTAAGTTGGTCCTTGAATGACCTACCTAGGTAACTGGCCATACTGTACAGGACAGGGGTGAAATACAGCAGGTTGTGACAGGTTCTGGAGAACCGGTAGTGGAAATTTTGAGTAGTTCGGAGAACCAGCAAATACCACCTCTGGCTGGCCCCAGAGTGGGGTGGGAATTGAGTTTGCAATATTCTTCTCCTGGAGTGGGGAGGGAATGGGGATTTTGCAATATCCTTCCCCTGCCATGCCCACCAAGCCACAACCACAGAACTGGTTGAAAAAAAATTGATTTTTTTTTTACTACCAGTTCTGTGGTACTACCACCACTGGTACAGGACCATATTGTTCTGACCCAGGCTTCCTTAGAAAGCAAAGTCCCAACAAAACCTCTTTTCTTTACATGACTGTTCGCTCCTCTGTTGTTTCCTAAGAGAGGCCAATCACCACCAAGGTATGGCTTTACTGCTTTCTTAGTTGTTCTTGCCTTCTGGCACCTCTGCGCATGCGCGCACTGGGAATAGGCTCAAGCTGTTCTTCTACCTCCCTGCTGTCCATTCGTGATGTACCGTAGCAGAACCTTCCGCTTTTTGGTTTGTTGCTATCCTTATTTTTATACATTTTTAATCTTTTTGAATTATGCCCATCTCCATCTTCATCAGGAAATAGGCAATGTTGAATCCTGTGTTGTATAGCTCTCACTTCACTCTTTTCTGTTGGTACTCCTGGCCTTTGTTTTATCCAGGTGCCAGGCGAGACTATTCTGGGTTTATTCTTCCTACAGCAGAATAATTTTTCCTATTCAGGTAGAATTGACACCACCTGGTTTAATAAGGGAGTTTTCCTCCCAACTGAGCAGAACAGGAATCCCTCTATATATTCCTCTCTTTTATGGGACTACAATGAGCAGTATCCTAACTTAGAACTCTTTTGTTCACATGAGCATTGCAGCTGGATATTCTTAGGTAGAAAAACTTATTAATACATTCTGTTTTGAAAATTGGAATGAATAATATGGAAGTGAGGCAGTAGCCTATTCATCTAATGATTTTTTTCTTATTTAATTGCTTTACATATGCACACACACATAGAAACAGAAGTAATGGAATCTAAGGAAAGCTTTATGATATGATTCTGTAAAGTATTAGGGGTCAGCTACTGCCCACCTTACAGGTAGGGCTCCCAGATCTAGGTAGCAAAAATCCAAAGGACCACTAGATGGTAGCAAGGGGATACAACCTCTATTTCTTTGAAGCCCCTGCCTGTACTTCAGGATTATCAACATTTTGCAGGAAAGCTTTTTCCATATCTTATGGAACCTCAGTATGATGGCTCACAATTGATCTTCAATATTCCACATAGAAATCCCCCAAAGCATGTAAAAAGGTTTAACAAGAGAGAGGTCAAACAGTTTGTTCTTTCCCTTCATTAGGCAATCTTCATTGCTTAGAAGGGAATTTTAGTTCTTTAAAGAAAGCAACGGTTTTTCAAGCCTGTCTCATATCTCCACTCTGGTAATTAATGATTGTTGTCTTCTCTTTTCCATCTATCTTTAACAGAAAGCTACTGTATTCATTTTAAAAAATGAAGGTTGCACCATTTTTTGTTGGTAATGGGCAACATTTGGTTATATCTTCTAGATTTCCCAGTATGCTATCTAAAAAATGTAAGTAAGCGATTTAAACACTACTATTCTACCACTTCCCACTTTTTTTAACCAGGATTTTTAATCATTTCATTCAGAAAAATTCTTTGAAATTCAAGAGCACATGCTTTTTTTTTGTAAGCCAGCATCTATTACAGATGTGGTTGCAATACAGATTCTAATTCTTTGGTTGCCTGATCGCACAGGACGTTGGAGGAGATGCCTGTTGAATTTTGACTTATTTTAAAGTTGTATAAAGTGTAGAACACTATACAGCTTGTGTGATGGAGCGGGAATAAATTAATGAATTAAACAGGCAATCATGCAAAGTTGTGAAAAAGCAGCCCTCTTTCTAATTTTCTGTCTGGATAAAAGGGAGGAGTTTTCACTCAAAATCAATCATGAAAGTCGAATGCAACATCCCCATTATGGGTCTTAAGGTTATATTAAGAACCTATCCTTCGATATTACGTCGCTGACACTTGCTTTCGCTTTCAACAGACAGACTGAAAGAAAATTCCTTCCTTCCACAACAGCGATCGCCGCAGATGCCCATCCTGAAGTCACCGCTTGCCAGACGTCAGATAATAAGTGCAAGCAGAAGGAACATCGAGGGTAAAAACTACATCTCCCATAGTGCCTTTTGCACCCGGTAGTAGCTGGCAGTGGCGAAGGAAGAGCCACGCGTTTCCCTTCTTCTTTTTTTTTTCTTTCCCTTTTCACCAGCTCAGCGATTTTCTTTGGTCTTTGGACTCACTTAACGTGAGCAACAGCTTGTACAACAGTTTGCACTTTCCTCGTCTGTTATGCTGTCTTTTCCTTTTAGACACTTTGCCAAGGTAAGATGCGGGGCGAATGACAGGTGGGGGCTCTAGCGGAGGGGAAGAGAGCAAGTTGCTTTGCCCACTTGAAGTGGGAGCAGAGATGCGGGGCAGAGGGGCAGTTGCTTCATTGATAACTTCTGAGAAGCGCTTTTGAGCCGGCGGTCTTTGATGTTTGGGGCCTCTTGGGATGGAGAGCGGATGGCTTGAATTGCAAACTATCGGGGGGGGGGGTCTGACCTCAATGATCATTTTCCCGCCCCCCCTCCCCCAAAGCCGCAAGGAGGGTGATGGGTTATTTAAAAAGGCCTAAGCTGTTCTCCACGCTCGTTTCAGTTTTTCCAGTTCTCTGAACACCAAAAAGTTTCGCTGCTCCAGGAAAGATCCATCTCCTTCTCTCCCCCCCCCCCCACTTCATTTTATATCTTTTGTTTTGAATGGGACTGTTAAGTGTGCAAGTTTAGAAATCGGAGTTTCTTGGGTAAGGAGTTTATATGCCTGCCTGGGGCTTATAGCAGGGATCTGAAAGCGGCACAGATCGTTGCCATTCTGCTACTCAATTATTATTTAATTCTGGCTAATAGCTCTTGGAAGCGGCACAGAGCAAGGCGAAGAGTTATCTTGATGTTCAGGACTGAGACACTATTATCAGCGGAAACCTCTCCAAGCAGTCACGCTTTGCTGGGTTTTATGGGCTAATTTTTTTTTTGTAACATCTCTTTTCTTTCACATACTGTCCTATCTGACATTGCAGCTTTGAAGAGAGGAATTACAGAATTGGTTAGAGCCTCCGGCGGGCAGGAAGAAAAGAACAGGGATAGATGGGACAAAACTAACTTTGCAGCTACTCTGTGACCTGGCTAAAGGTCCCTTGGCAGTAACTCTGTTGTACCCTGGAACCATCAATAAAATGATCTGCCCCTCTGAAAATTGCTCTCTGATTTGCAGACTGTTGATTAGATAATGTCATTAAAATACTCCTTTAAAAAAAAAAAACATCACAGCAAAAAAAAATAATTAAAGGTTGTGTGGCAAATCTATTCTTAAAGGTAAAGGTTCCCCTCGCACATGTGTGCTATTCGTTCCTGGCTTTAGGGGGTGATTCCCATTTCCGTTTCAAAGCTGAAGAACCAGCGCTGTCCAAAGACGTCTCCGTGGTCATGTGGCAGGCATGACTAAACGCCGAAGGCACACGGAACGCTGCTACCTTCCCATCAGGTGGTCCCTATTTTTCTCCTTGCATTTTTACGTGCTTTCGAACTGCTAGGTGGACAGAAGCTGGGACAAGTCACGGGAGCTCACTCTGTTACGCGGTGCTAGGGATTCGAATCACCAAACTGCCGACCTTTCTGATCGACAAGCTTAGCGCCTTAGCCACTGAGCCACCGTGTCCCTTTAAAATCTATCTTTGCGACCTGTCAAATATTCCTTTCCTTTAAGAAGGAATTTTATTTTTTCCCCCCTGGCAAACAGTGTTGGAACATTTCACCCTTAAAGCCAAAGTTGATGCATTATTTTGCTACTTTGCTGATGCAACTTATATGACGCCGTTGCATCATCTGCAGAAGAGATTATGGTTGGCTGATAATTTCTTTAATAAAGAAAATGAAAGCCAATTGTTTTGTTTTCCCCTCAACGTGCCTGTCAGTTGTGGTAACGGCTTTACTTTGAAATGAATGTTAGTGGCGGGGATGAGGGAACCAATCCAGCTTTGTAGGCACATATGTATCCAGCAGTTCTTCCCTGACTGGATTTACCAGCTCAGCAGCACAGAGGTCTTGCTGTTCTACTCAGAAGAGGCCTACTTACCCATCTGCAGCACAAAGCCATCTCTGTCTCACCAGACCTTGAAATTGACTTGTCCCGCTCGCCCCTATGGCTTTGTCTTTTGAGTTCTCACTCTGTTGCTCATCCATTGAGTCAAGTGGCTAGAAATATAATCCTTTTTCTGAGTTCCATGTGGGTAAGATGTTGTAAGGAATGTAAATGCCATTCTGCAAATTCATCGAGACAACTTAGAGGGAAGTTGACTAGCTTCAGCAATTTTAGATTGCATGCTTGCCAGTATATGGGACCATGTTCCTTAATGCTAGCAAAAGTAATATTTTGTCTGCATGACTTCTTGTTCCTCCAATTTTCAAAAGAAACCACAGTGCTCAATAGCTATCTGATGACAGAAACGTGCCATTTAAATTTCTTGCTATCCATGTGATTTGTGTGATGATAGTCTAGTTCTGACATGAACATAATTGCTACTGGTCACCGCTGCAAGAGCTAGCATGGTAGAGGGGGAGAGTTGGTCTGAAGATCAATGTAACTTACTGGGTAATCAAGTCTTTGTACCATTTTCCTCCAACCTCACAGCCTCCAGAAGCAATGGGCTCTCAATAAAGGAGAATATTTGTAGCTCAGAGTTGAAATGAGAGGTCCTTGGTGCTCTCTGAGCTTGTTTTCTGGCAGATGTTTCATTACCTGAACTAGGGTAATAGGGTAATACCTAGTTTGGATAATGAAACATCTGCAAGAAAACAAGCAAGCTCAGAGAGCATCAAGGATCCCGCAATGGGCTCTTTGCGCTATCGAGAGTTGCAATATTAATATACTATATCTGGAAATTTCCAAGCAGTAGAAATCCGTTTAGGCAGTAATTCCAAACTTGAATGGCCCCAGATGCTTTTGGAATGTAATTCCCATCATTCTTTGCCATTGCTTATGCTGATAGTAGAGCAGGAACATCTAAGGACAAAGGTGGGTTCCTACCGGTTCGGAGTGGTTCGGCTGAGCCGGTAGTAACTTGGCGGTCTGGGTCGCTGGAACTGGCAGTAATTTTTTGCGTGCCAAACCAGCAGTAATTCCGGCAGCAACCCACCCCTGCTGAGGACCCAGGGGGGAGATTACTGCCAAGTCTGGTTTGATCATGTGATCTTAATTACATGGAGGAAGAATTGAACTGTACCCTAAACCTTGCCAAGACATCTTTGAGGGATGTGGCCCTTCCCTCACTGGTCTCGAAAAAGGGAGGTAGCTTTAAACATATGGTGTTTCCTCAGGGATTGGGGAGTTTTTATATATTAGCAGTCTTTCCCCCAATAGAAGGACAAGTATTGCCTCTTAAGATTGCTATCAATCATCTGGAGATACCACTGAAACTAGCCCTGCTGATCAGACCTAGGCCCATTTTAGTTCAGCGTTTTGTTTTTCACAGTGATCAGTCAGATGTCTCTGAGAGGCTCACAGGCAAGATATTCCTCTCTGACGTCATAATTCCCTTGCAACTCTCTTTGAAGGCACAGCGCCTTGTATATTATTATGAGTAATGATTTAGGAGCCAGAACTCTCTGTTCCCAGAATGCTCTTCTCCAGGCTACGAAGCTTTTTTAAAAAAGTATTTTACTGCTTTGGAAAACGTATCTCTCTGCTGAGTTGTTCCCGGTCCACAATGATTCTATTCAGGGGTGTTATTCACTTACTTTCCCTACCAGTTCGCAAATGTGAGCGCATGCGCCCCGTCATTGCATGCGCACGGCCTTCCGCGCATGTGCTTTGCTCACACGTTTGGCTTGCATGCATGTGTGTGGCTTGAAAACGTGCCTAAATAGGACAGCATAGAGCCGGGGTGGGTGGCCAGGCCCACCTGCAGTTCAGGTGAACTGGTCCAAACTGGCTGAATACCACCTCGGATTCTGTTTCTTCTGTCAGTTAGGCTCGACGTCCCATTCTGAGATGAACTAAGAAGAATGGGATGAGTAGGAGTAACCTTTCCACTGTGGAATCTGTTGTCCTTGGAAATATGCTTGGGTCCCTCAATCCTGGTTTACAGGAAATCTCCAAAACTTTCTTATTTAAACAAAACTTTCTCCGTTTTGGTTTGTTGCTAGCCTTATTTTTATTTATTTTTCATCTTTTTGAACTGCCCATCTCTATCTTCATCAGGAAATAGGCAATGTTGAATCCTATGTTTTATGGCTCTTACTTCACTCTTTTCTGTTGGTTCCTTGGTATTCCTGGCCCTTGTCTTATCCAGGTACCAGGCGAGACTATTATGGATTTATTCTTCCTACAGCAGAATAATTTTTCCTATTCAGGTACCCTGTTTCCTTGAAAATAAGACCTCCTTGGATAATAAGCCCAATCGGGCTTTTGAGTGCATATGCTAAAATAAGCCCTCCCCGAAAATATTGCAACATAGCAAGAGCCATGAGATGACCACGCTCGCCGCCTCCTGCACCTAACAAATAATAAGACCTCCCTGAAAATAAGGCCAAGCGCTCATTTCAGGAGTCAAAAGAAAATAAACCCCGTCTTATTTTCGGGGAAACATGGTAGAATTGACACCACCTGGTTTAATAAGGGTGTTTTCCTCCCCACTGAGCAGAACAGGATTCCCTTTATATATTCCTCTCTTTTATGGGACTACGATGCGCAATATATCCTAACTCATTTTCTCCGCAGACTTTTCCTAATTTCATGCTTTCTTTTCTTATTCAGATTGTTGACCTCAGTAGCTTCCAGGTTTGGACACTCAAATGAAATTTAACTATCATTTAAATTACAGTTGGTGGTGCAGTGATTAGAATGCAGTACTGCAGGCTACTACTACTGACTGCCAGCAGTTTGGCCGTTCCAATCTCACCAGGCTCAAGGTTGACTCAGCCTTCCATCCTTCCGAGGTCGGTAAAATGAGGACCCAGATTGCTGCGGACAATAGACTGACTCTGTAAACCACTTAGAGAGGGCTGTAAAAAGCACTGTGAAGCGGTATATAAGTCTAAGTGCTATGGCTATAATCATTGGTCCTATGGGATGGAACTATTTGGCATTCTTATCCCACAACACCTGGAGCTATAAAGTTCTCCATCCTAGGTGGCCATTTTGAATATGCATTAATGGGGTTTCCAGTAAAGGATTTTGCCTCCTGTAGATAACATACAGTGTGTTTATACGGTTTTTGAAGAACCAGTTGTTTTTTTGACTGGGATGGCTTATGTTGGCTCTCTTGTGATCCTGTCCACTCTTTTACCTTCTCAGCCCCTACAAAGATGCTGCCAAGCGAAGGGGGCTCTGCGGGCCCAACACAGCAAGGCAGCTGCAACTTCTTTCAAGGAGGCCTCAGGCTGGACCGGGCAGGAGAGCTTGGCAGAGAGTGACCCTGAGATGTGGGATTTGGTACAGCAGGAAAAAGATCGCCAGTGCCGGGGTCTAGAACTCATTGCCTCAGAGGTGAGTGAGAGAAGCATCTTTTTCCTCAGCCTTGGGTTGAAGCTGAAGTACATGCCTTTTACTTTGGGTCCTTCCAATGAGGGAATGTTGCCATCTTCCTTGATACCTTAAAACATATGCCGGTAATCCTCGACTTACAATTGTTCATTTAGTGACCATTTAAAGTTACAACGACACTGAAAAAGTGAGTTATGACTGTTTTTCACACGTATGGCCATTGCAGCATCTCTATGCTCATGTGATTTTCTGTATATTTCTGACTATAAGACGCACCAGAGTATAAGACGCACCATAATTTTGAAGAGGTAAATTAAAAAAAAAGTTTTTGCACTCTGCAGGCTTCCCAAACCCTCTGCACCCCTCATTTTTTTGCCAAAAAAGGGAGGGGCATGCAGAGCTTTGGGAGGATTGTAGAGTGCTCCTGGGGGTTGGGGGTGGGGGGGAACCAAGCAAAAAACAGCCCATTTTTTGCAACAAAAAAGGGCCTGCAGATTTTTGGGAGGCTTGTAGAGTGCTCCTGGGAGTTTGGTGGGGTGTGTGTGGAAATCAAGCAAAAAACAGCCCATTTTTTGCAAAAAAAGGGGGGGCTGCAGAGCTTTGGGAGGCTTTTAGAGTGCTCCTGGGAGCTGGGGGAGAGGTCAAAAACGAGCAAAAATGACTTGTTTTTTGCTCGTTTTTGCCCTCCTCAGCCCCCAAGAGCACTTGGCAAGCCTCCCAAACCCTCTGCACGTCCATTTTTGCAAAGGGAGCAGGGTTTCAGTAGGCTAAAAATGCTGTATTCAATGTATAAGACCGACCCAGATTTTCACCCTCTTTTTTGAGGGAAAAAGGTGCGTCTTATAATCCGAAAAATACGGTACATCGGTTGTTTGACCACTGACTCACATTTATAATGGTTGCAGTGTCCCAGAGTCCTGCGATCCCCTTTTGGCAACCTTCTGAGTAGCAAAGTCAATGGGGGAAACCAGATTCACTTAACAACTGGGCTACTAATTTTAAGAACTGCAGTGATTTACTTAATAGCTGTGGCAAGAAAAGTCGTAAAATGGGACAAAACTCAGTTAACAAATGTCTCATTTAGCAATCTAAATTTTGGGCTCAATTGTGGTTGTAAGATGAGAACCTAAGTCAACAACAGAACAGCAGTCCCAATAAGTTTCTGTAGAGAGCTGCAAAGAGTTGAGCTAGAGACTTTCAGTCCACATTCTAAAAAATTTACTGGATTGAGACAAATGAACAGACATCAGGCCAGTCTACTGATGGGCATTAGCCATGCTCTGTGATAATATATCCATTGCAGAAGGAAGAACAGTTCCATGAAAGGACGGAAATCTATCACCTTTGCAGTTTATTTGTGGGTTTTCAAGAAACATCTGATTTATTACTGTATCAGGAAGTGTAATGGACACAATAAAAGCTGAAACTTTTTAATTTGTACTCTTAAAGATCTGGGTGCAATTGTCATTATGAAAAAGTAACTAAGCCTCTGTTGAATACAAGTAGTTCTCTATTAGCAAATAGTGTATCTTAAAAAAATTGTTGGAAGAATTATACAGAATGTAATGTCTTTCCTGTGGCTGGATGGAGTCACTGAAGCAGTAGGCGTGAGCTTAAATGGACTCCGGGGGATGGTAGAGGACAGGAAGGCCTGGAGGAACGTTGTCCATGGGGTTGCAATGGGTTGGACATGACTTTGCAGCTAATAACAACATCTTTTCTATTGTCTTGTAACATTAATGGATGGAGAAAGGATTATAATTGCCTTTAACCAGAAACCAGCAATACATTTTTCATAATGCCTAGCCAAAGTTTAAGAAACCCCCAAATATTACCTCTTTCCGGATTTGGACTTCTCCTCTTCCACTATAGGGTTTCCTGCCTAAGCAGAGGGTTGGACTAGAAGACCTTCAAGTTCCCTTCCACCTCTGTTATTCCAAGTCTGTGACTCTATTCTATTCTACTAGATGTTCACCCTCACCTTCTATTGTTTGCTTCCGAAGTGGCCATTACAGAACTGGCTCCACTCAGAAGGTTCAAAGAAGGAACAGCTTGATCTTCCCATTGTGTTTATCTGAATTAAACTGTCGCTCCATAAAATATGGCATTTTTCTTCTTTAGTATAAGAGAACCAGAAATGTCATTGAGGTTCATTTTCCTTTCCCCCCCCATTCAGCACTTCCTTTTTTCTCTTTCCTCAATTTCAGAATTTCTGTAGCCGGGCTGCCTTGGAGGCTCTGGGCTCGTGTCTCAACAACAAGTATTCAGAGGGCTATCCAGGCAAGAGGTAGTGTGCTTTATTATGCGACCCCAAAATACCTTAATTGACTGGGGTGGGCAGACATGAGAATGGATTATGAAGAGATTGCCTGAGTTTGTCCTCAGCTGTTTGACTTAGAATAGAAAAATACGGTAGTCTTTGACTTACAACAGTTCGCTTACTGATTGCTCGAAGTTACAATAACACTGAAAAAAGTGACTTGCGATCATTTTTCACATGGCCATTGCAGCATCCCCATGGTCACATGATCAAAATTCAGGTGCTTGGCAACTGACTCCTATTGATGACAGTTGCAATATCCTGGGGTCATGTCAGTGATGGGTTCCGGGAGGTATAGCCCGGTACGGCCGTACTGGTAGTAGCCGGGAGCAGCGGCCACCATACCGGTACGGTGGCTTGTTTGGCCCACCCGCCCTCCCTTGTTCCATAGTTGTTTATAACGCGACTGGCCAAGCGTGTGGCGCCTGCACAACCACCGCTGAGCAGCTGGGTGTCGCAGGATGGTGGTGTGTGCATACGTGCGCAGTGCATGTGCCTGACTAGGTCGCCCAGCTCCGTGTGCAGCATATTGTTTGTGACGGGCTCCCCACCACTGGGTCATATGATCCCTTTTTGCACCTTCTGACAAGCGCAGTCAATGCAGAAGCTAGATTTACTAACAGTCATGTTACTAACTTAACAACTGCAGTGATTCACTTAGCAACAATGGCAAGAAAGGTTGTAAAATAGGGCAGAACTCACTTTACAAATGTCTTGTTTAGCAACAGAAATTTTGGGCTCAATTGCGGTTGTAAGTGAAGGACTACCTATATGACCTTATAGAAGTTGTTAGGTTCCAACATATCCACCACTCCTAGTCACTAGTCACACAACATTTGAAGGTCCATGATCCCTCCATTCCAGGTATCTTAAGCATTACACCACCCTGTCTGGCACAAAATGATCTGTATTTACTCTAAACACAATATATGTGCTCAGATATCCATTACTCCGTCAAGAGGAGGAAGCCCTATTTTCTGTTCTCTTGGATTATCTGGGAGTGAAGGTTAAGGGAGCATGTAGATCCTATTGAATCCTTCCCACATGCCTGGTGTTTGCCAGCCACATGAAATGACTTGCCTTCAGAAGAGGCCTCAGACATTTTGCTAAGGTCCCATTTTCGGGGCAGATACAGTTATATGTTGGCTCTGAAACTGACCTCTGATCCCGATGGTGGAGAGAAGAAACATGGTATAGCTATAATTCAGAGGGGAAAGTGTTGTATGGAGATTTATTATGGATGAGGTGCAGAGAGTTACATGGAGAGAAGGGGTGGCCAGAATGCTTCATTAGGGAATGGTTGCCAAGGTAATGTTCTTTGTGATGGCATGGAGGAAACAGATAACATTTTCTTCTAGTTTTACTCTATTTCAGAAATGATGGTGGCATTGTGGGTTTTTCTGTCACTAACATTTCCTTTGTGACTATCCTGATGCAGGTATTATGGTGGTTCTGAGGTGGTGGACCGCATTGAACTGCTCTGTGAACGCCGGGCTCTTGAAGCCTTTGACCTGGATCCTGAACGCTGGGGGGTGAACGTCCAGCCTTATTCTGGATCCCCGGCCAATTTTGCTGCCTACACAGCCTTGTTGCAGCCGCACGAACGTCTCATGGGTCTGGATTTACCCGACGGGGGCCAGTACGTGTGTGGAATTGGGGAATGAAACTTGGGGAGGAAAGCCTTGTGAGATGTTCTAGTCTAGTAGCATATCAGAAGGGGTGAAAAGGGAGGATTGGACTGGCGCAGTTGGGATAGCTGAGGGGAAAGAGAGGAGGGTGGTGCATAAGAATAACTGGGAGAATGAGGATCTAGTTTACTGATCCAGAAGAAAAAGCAGCTGAAGAAGCTGGAAGAGGCAGGGAGAAGACCCAGAATGACTCATAAGTGGCATCTTTGGAGTAGCCTTTTTTGACCAGCAATATATAAAACTTATAGAATAAGGCTTATCTCCTCATTGTCTATCTCTGATTTTGACAGGACCATGTTTTCTTTAGTTTTGACCTGTAGACGTTTCTGTCACCTCCTCTGGATGCCAACATAGATGATGTTGACGTTGGAGGATGTTGAAGAGCATCTGCCTTTTTGCTTTCTGGGAGCTGCTATCTGTTGTGTCCCCCCATAATCTACACCTCTCCCCATCCAGTCTCATGGTGGCCTTGTGGGGGAAGTGCCAGGCTAATTTGTAATCCCTTTAGACATAAATATGTGTTCCCTTAGCTTCTTGGTTTGAGTTGGACTATGATTGAGGCTTAAGCTTTGTCTGGACAATATGTCTTCCTTCTTCTTGACAGCCTGACTCATGGGTACATGTCCGATGTCAAGCGTATCTCAGCCACGTCCATCTTCTTTGAGTCCATGCCTTACAAACTCAACGTGAGTAAATAGTTCCAAATATTTGCATTTGCCCTGATTTTCCTCTCTGCTTCTGACAGTAGGTTGAAAATGCAGATCTAGAATGGTGTGCAAAAGCATTCCTGATCAAAACTTAGTGGATGCTTGCAGAAAATAGGAATGGCGATCAAACTGAGTTTTGTAAAAATTCTAGATTTTTTATGATAATCTCAATGACAACCTAACAAAGCAGCTTAGCTTCTATGCTGCCAGTAAGTATGTGAGCGATGTTTTCTGAAATCAGAATTATGACTGAATGGGTTTTCCAGTAGTTGAGAGGATGGTGGGAAAAGTTTCATTTACACATGGACTGGGCCTCCCTTCAGCTGACAGGAATTAGAATAAATTACACCCATTAGTAAACTCTGCAGATTCAGTTGTGAAGAAAGGAAAAAGTGGGCACATATGTTTAAGTTACAGAAATAGGATTTCACGAGCACCAACTTTATTCATTCATATATGTCCACAATTCAGTATTGTCTCACCCGTTCACCCTTAGTAGCTTTGATGTCTCCCTTCTGGATATGCTGTGCCCCAAGATCACTCTTCTGAATAAAGTAGATCTTTTTACACTTGGATGACTTCATCCAACCTTTTTGAATAGCTCTTAACTTTTACAAAAACGTAGAATAACCTTCCCAACTTAGAGCCCTGGGTTGAGTTATATTTTGTTTTAAGTTTATGTTTTAAATTTATATTCTGGCTGAAGTAATCATTGGATGGTTGAATCTAACCTTGATGCCTGATGTCAGCTTTTATTTTGTTTTTAATTAAAATGTAGACTCACTTTCTCAACTAGTGCCCTTTATTATGTCTACATGTCTGTGTTAAGTGTTAAATATATGACCTTGCAACTTTCAAGGTGGTTTATAGAATTTTGACCATGTTGATTGGAATTTTCCAGACATTGGGATTTGCAGTCCTATGTGTCTGGATGATGTCCTGTTGAGGAAGCTAATTCAAAGGATCTTATCTGTCATTCCCACACCCCGTTTCTTGTTTTCTACCATCAAGGTATACAAAGAGGCTTAAGGCTGAGCATTCTTATTGTCAGCACTGAAGGAGAAAGGAGAACACCATGTATTTATATATCCACTACAGCCGTGATGGCACATGGAGCCATATTGGTGGGCACACAAGCTCAGCTCCGGTGCACATGTGCGTGCCGGCCAGCTGATTTTTGGGCCTTCTGGGGCCACCAGAAGTTGGGAAACAGGCTGTTTTTAGCCTCTGGTAGGCCTCTGGAGGGGTGGGGAAGGCCCTTTTCGCCCTCCCCAGGCTCCTGGAAAGGCCCTGGAGCCTGGATAGAGTGAAAAACAGACCTTCCGGTCGGCAAATGGGCCATTTTTGGACTTTGGAGGGCTTCTGGGGGGGGGCGAGGCCTTTTTTGCCTTCCCCAGGCTCCTAGAAAGGGTCAGAAACCTGGGGAGGGCAAAAAACGGGTTCACCATGCCATCACGTGCCAAAGGCGAGGGGAGCGCAGGGGGATGGTGATAGAATCATAGGTGTGGGAACACATGTGCACGACCCTGCCCCCCACGCTCCCCACATTTTTGGCATGCGATGGCAAAAAGGTTAGCCATCACTGCGCTACAGGAACCCAATAACATTATTTGTTTAAAAGGGATTTCTTTCCATTTTAGTCCCAGCCTGATTTTCTGTTGATGCCCTTGTTTGGATTCTCTTGCAGGTTTTTTTAAAAACCTTTTTAGAAAATCAGGAAAGTGATTGTCAGTGGTGTCAACCAGCTATAAATATAGTAGCTGGGAAGTGATGGCTAATAATATCTCTACTTCAATATCTTGGCTGGATTTAATGCAAGTTTCTAGAGATGATGTGTTTCATGTAGGTTGATCTACACAAGTATTTGTACTAATTTTTCCAGCATTTGGAGGAGGACAGTGCAGGTGGTCCTTGACTTACAGCAGTTCATTTAGTGACTGTTCAAAGTTACAACAGCAGTGAAAAAAACCATCCCAAAGGTGGTTTTTCAAGACACAACTGGATTTTCTGAAAGTTCAGTTGCCTCTTGAAAAAATACCTTGGAGGCAACTAGGACGTGGATAACTGAAAATCTTCATAGACATTTAGCAGTGAAAAGGGTGACTTATGACCGTTTTTCACACTTATGACCGTTGCAGCATCCTCATGGTCATGTGATCAAAATTCAGATGCTTAATAATTGGTCATATTTATGATGGTTCCTGGGGTCATGGAGTCCTTCGGGATTGGGCGGCATATAAATATACTTAATAAATAAACTTAATAAATAAATAACCTTTTGTGACCTTCTGACTAGCAAAGTTAATGCGGAAGCCAGGATTATTAACAATCATGTTACTAACTTGACAACTGCAATGATTCACTTAACATTTGTGGCAAGAAAACTCATAAAATGGAGCAAACTGACTTAACAAATGTTTCACTTAGCAACATAAATTTTGGGTTGAATTTTGGTCGTAGGTTGAGGACCATCCGTATTTATTTGTTTCTCTGTCCCCTGTCCAGCCAAAAACAGGACTCATTGATTATGACCAGCTTGAGTTAACCGCCCGACTGTTCCGCCCACGTCTCATCATCGCTGGCACCAGCGCTTATGCCCGTCTTATTGACTATGCCCGCATGAAGAAGGTATGTCTTAGTGGATTGGGAGGACAATGGTTGAACTGAATGAAAGGCAAAGTGGTGTGAATTTACCTCTCTTCATCTTTCCCTTTTTATCAGGTGTGTGAAGAGGTGAAGGCCTACCTGCTTGCTGACATGGCTCATATCAGTGGTCTGGTGGCAGCTAAAGTCATCCCATCACCCTTTGACTACGCTGATTTGGTGACTAGCACCACTCACAAGACTCTGCGAGGTGCAAGGTAAAAGCGTGATGTAGACGGGCACATATCATTCTGTTCGGGCAGTCAATATTTGTCCTTCAGCGTCTTCCTGGGGGCGTGGCCTGTTGCCGAGGAGGGCTCCACCGAGCTCCTCAGAGATCTGGTCTGTATAT